TTTGATCTTGCATTTCTTTTTTAGCGACGGTTACCACCCAGGATGCTTAAGATTTATGTTAGGTTAGGTTAAGTTCCTATTTTCCACTCGCTCTTTCTCTTTCTCTCGTTGTTTGCAAGTTGAAAATCGTGAAAAATCTTGTTTTCGTTCGGGGGAAGAAGTCGTATCGTCGAATGAAAGATGGCACTGACTAGAAATCCCTATGGAGGTTCATTCCTTTAATCTCTTGCGCTGGAATGACGCACGTTGAAAAATCTTTTGTCCCAAAATTGCAATATTTTCTCAGTTTTAAGTATATTTAAATATAACTCGGGCAAAACAAATAATAAATTTATTACTTTTCAATAATTTTTATTCAGTGATACCGTACCGACGAGTTCAAAAGAAAAAGAAAGCGACGAATTATCGTATACGGTTTGGTCACTCGTTATGGTCCGCAATCAGTTGCCAATGCAAGTGGTTAACCTCTTATGTCGAGAATTTTCTGTCCCAAAATTGCAATATTTCCTGTTTCTGGTATATTTAAGTATAATCCAGGCAAAACAAATAATAAATTTATTACTTTTCAATAATTTTTATTCAGTGATACCATACGACGAGTTCAAAAGAAAAAGAAAGCGACGAATTATCGTGTAGTCACTCGTTCGGTCACTCGTTATGGTCCGCAATCAGTTGACAACGCAAGCGGTTAAGTAAATGTATAACGAGATTTAACTAGAAACCACGATAATAACTGTTTATTAATATTAATATATAACAAGATTTTATAACGATCGTTTGCTCTGATTGGACAATACAAAATATTTTCTTACTGTTTTATTTTCTTCTTTTCTCGTTTGAAATCAGCGTCGCCGTCGTTAAATCCCGCGATCCTTTAGCCCTCAGCTTGGATCCGCGAGTTTGATGGAGAAAAGTTTCGAGACGACAGTCGAAATTTCGAATTCCTAGACGTACTTTGGTCGGTGAGATGTCGCGTGTATGTAGCCGGAGAAGGTTCATCGTCCGCGTGCCTCGTCTCCAGCAAACTTAGAACAGTCATTAGAGCGGCGTACGAGATATTTACTCTGATGCCCGGCTGGATAAGTTACACCTCTCGCGATTCATCGACGATTAACCTCTTAATCCCTTAATTCAGCTGTCAGATGTCAGAATGTCAACATTGAATTCCATTTTTCAGAAGCGAAAAATCGTCAATGAAACTCGCTTGAACGAACGCGACGAATTCGTTGCAAAAGAAAATAAAATAAAAGGATCCCTGGAGAGGATCGTCCTTCCTCTAAATGACCAAACTTTCGACCCGCAAAATATCGAAACCTCCGTTCAGCGAGAGCTTGTGTCGACGACCAAACGCTGCGAACCATTAAACGAGAGCGTCGTTAAACCGACTCCAATACCTAGGAATTCGTTTCGAAAACCAGCTGTGCATCCCCCTTCGTCCGTAGCACCTGCGAGGCCAACTTGTTCAACAACATCGAAAGCCAAGGACCTCCGGTCAAAGGGGTTGCCCTCTTTCTATACGGTTTTACAACCCCCCGTCTACCGAGGCAATCCGTCTTATCTCGGCCGAGTATCGTTTGCTACTCGCTTGCAAGCGGCAGTTTCCGGTATCAGGAGTCGCCAACTGGAGCCAGCGTGTTCCATGCATAACGCGTCGTCCTCTTATCTGCCTGCGCGAGAAAAAGGGAAGAGAAAGAGGGAAGAGTCGGCGTGGTAGTACACTGCCGTTCGCAAGTATCGCGTGTTTGTTGCTCTCGATTTCCAACGATTTCTTCCATTTCTTCCCCTCTGTCGCGGCGAGTTTGAATTTGCCGCCGTTTGTCGCCAGGTTAGAGATTTCATACTTCAACTTTGAGTGCAAAATCCACTCGACAAGGTAGATTCTTAGATTTATTAAATTTTTCTCCCCAAGTTTCGAGAAATTAATTATATTAATTATATTAGTCGTTATATCACTATATTATATTAGTTATTATAATTATATTATTAATTATATTAATTATTAATTAGTTATATTGGGTAAATTCGGTGTAATTCGTTTGATCAATCAGGATTTGCGATTGCAAATTGTCTGCAAAAAATGATTGTTGCGGAATAACAGTAATGTGGAGTATTTTGTAATTTACTAAATTATAATCTATATCAGTTGCTATAATTATATTATTAATTATATTAATTATCATATTAATTATCATATTAGTTATATTGGCTAAATTCGGTGTAATTCGTTCATAACAGTTTGATCAATCGGACGAATGCAAATGATTTTGTCTGCAAAACGATCGTTCTGGAACAATAATGTGGAATATTTTGCAATTTACGAATGAAATTATAATCTCATCGCGATATTAAGAGACAGTACACTAAATTCTTTTTTCCTATTTTTTTTTTTTTATAAAATGACAATCACATAATTTAAAAAAAAATTGTGCACGCCTGTTCCCTCTCCCGTCAAAGTTTTCCACGACGCGCGCAACGATCGCTACACAATTAGTTTTACATTTAACAAATTTACAAACTTCAAAGTCGATCAGAATCATTGAATTCGAACTTCATTTCAAAAATGGTAACCACAAGTCCGATTTCATTCGACTTTACGATTTTACAAGAACACGTGCTGCGAGACTCGAGATTGGTTTTTGAGCGGAGGGTGTAGAGGATGGAGGAGCGTGTCAGTGTCTATCTTACGTGGAGGCGAGGAGTTTGGCTATCGATCGCCACCCTCTGCACGTCTTTTTCCTCTCTCGACCCTGCTCTTCTTCTCTTCTTCCTCCCGGTTACAAGCCACGCGGACCGGCGACAACACGCAGCCACCGACGCGAGACGTTCGTTTCTCACTGCGGAACCTTCAACAAATCAAACCTTCGTCTGTTCCAATGAATTCGTCTCGCGCCTCTTCGAACGCGTTAGATCGTTTAAAACCCCCCCTTGCGCTGGTTTCGCGGACCGTAACGAGTGACCGATACCGTAACACGATAATTCGTCGCTCTCGTTTCGATCTCGTCGGTCATATATTGAAACGCAATAAATTTATCATTTAGCTTTGCCTTAGGCTGTACTTAAAACTGAGAAAAGTAGTTGCAATGTTGGAATAAAGAAGGTCGAGGACAGTTTTTGGCAGTTACATTCGAAAAAATATTGTTGCGAGTTTCCTTCGTTCGTTAGAAACGAACGAAACTCGGAGTTAGGTCGACGACTGTACTGTGATTGCTCTCTCCAAGGGAAATATTCGCCGATGTTTCAGAGAACTTTGTCCGTTTGGACAAACTTTCCTGCATCTTATTCTGATTGACAAACGAAACTGGGCGTTGGAACAATGGTGCAGCCCTCCAAGTTAAAAAAAAAAAGAAAACCTCGTTTCAAACTTATTATCGCGTCGAAGAGGATGTTCCGTGAAAATTCAAGCTTTGGTCCAATCCAAAAGCATTTTGTTCCTTTTCATCCGTCTTTGGTATCTCCGAATTACAGAGAGACTTTACGGAGGGAAATTTTCACGGAATCGGTCGGTCGCTGCTGCTATTTTTAGCGGTTCCGAAAAATCAGTTCCATTGTTTTTTCGCGGGTTTATTGACGCGGTAAGCGGCGTCGGCGTCGGCGTCGGCGTCGGCGGCGGACAGGAAGCACCGCGGGGAATTGGAACGTGGCAAGAATCAATTTTTCCCCGGCCTTCTTCCACGAGTTTCGCGCAAATTGCCGATCGTCCCGCGGGACGTTCCCTTGTTAGGCACACGCGGCGCTTCCTGTCGCATTGTAAATTTCCCAGAAAAAAAAGAGAGAGAGAGAAAGAGACAAATTACCATAAATCTTTTCAACATTTCACTCGAAACTCGCGTCGCGCTTCATCCTCTCAAAAAATTACAGAAACACACGTCGAAATATATCGAAAGCGTTACGTTCTCGACTTCAAATTCTCAACAGGGGGTTGCACCGCTATCCTATTCTATGATTAGCATCGCGGCCTTCGCCGCTTTAACGCAACCACGTTTCGAAAGATCAAACGAAAAAATTCGCGAAGGGGTGAGAACCAGCCCCCCGCCCCCCTCCTTTGGGGGTGAAAAGAGGAGCAAAGTGGCGAAAGGATCTCGATAGAGAAAGAAAGCTAAAAAACAGAGAGAGAGAGAGAGAGAGAGAGAAGCAAAGCATGGAAGAGAGAGGGGGCGTCGCGGTCGGAGGGGTGGGAAGCTCCTGGGAGGGGATCTAAGGGGGAGGAGGAGGAGGCGAAGAGTAACAGAGCGGAGCGGAGCAAAACGGAACGGAGCAGCGGAGCAGGAAGAGAGGAGAGAGAGTGTGTGTGTGTGTGAGAGGAAGAGGGGGAGGCGGTAGGGGTGTGGAGGGGAAGTTGCGTCGGTTCGAGGGCAAATCTAGTAAGCTAGGACAGAGGCTATTAATAACTGTTTGGGGTGCCGTACCTGGCCGCCGCGCGGTGCCTCCGGCGCGCGTCTAGATACGCGCGTCTCGACGACCGGCGTCTCAGTGTCGTCGCGACGACCGACGTCGTACCCGCCGTTCCCGTCGTTCCGGCGTCGCCGTCGATCCGCGGATACGTATCACGCTGATACACATCACCGATTTGCGTTTGTGCGGTCCTCTATACCTCTATACGCAGCTCTTTCGTCTTCTTCGTCTTCTTCTTTTTTTTTTTTTCTCTCGTTTCTTCTCTCGTCCGCGATCGATCGGAACCGTTGCAGAGATCGCGGACCTCGCGATCGAGAGGTGGATCGAGAGGGACAGAAGGCAGTGAAGAAGCGAGGCGTTTTTGGCAGACGACCAGAGTGGATCAGTGTCGTCCGAGCGATCGACCGACTCGGTATATACGCGTGATCGGCCATCGTCAAGCTCAACGAGCACGCCGGAGGTGATCGGTTGCTGTAGACTGATTGGCTCCTTGGAGTGGAGGATCAGCTGATCACCGTGGCCAGCTGGAGAGCCAGCCTGTCGATCGTCCCACCAATCCCGGTCGCTTATACTACCGGTTATCGTTCGCTCGCGAGCGGGGTGGTTCGGCATTTTTCCTAGTGGTTTGCAAGTACACGCGTGGTAGTCTTCGTAAGTATCATCGGGGCGGTCAGTTCCTCGGGCGATCGATGGTTTTTTTCTTTTTTTTTTCGAGCAAGCCGATTTTCTCTATACGTTCCACGGGATTCGATCGTGGCTGGAGCAAGTTCTACGTCGTAATGTAAATTGATTAATCGTGACGTTGATCGAAGCTTAATTCGATTAATTTTTAACAGTCGCCGGTAACAACCGTTCTTTTCCTTTGTAATTTTATGCACGCGTGCATGACGCGGCCAAGCGCAGCCTCGTCGATTTATTACCGACAACTTACAAATAGAAGTTTCCTGCGACACGTGCGCTCGGTCCGTCCCTTCGATCCGACTCGCCTTTTCGTACGAACAGTTCGCAGATCACCGTCTTTATTTAACTCCGCGAACCGTGTTCTAAACGATCGAGCACTCGTGCATCGAAAGAGAGAGAGAGAGAGAGAGAAATTACCATCAATTAATTCGTAGTTTATCGATCGTTCCGTAACCACAAATTGTCGACACGTCTGAGAAGAACAACAAATTGCAAGTTGATTGTTGATTATTCGGTGACTGTTCCGACGATCGGTTTCGCGAAGGGCAAGCGGAATGCCTTCATTTCGAAACTCGTCGAAACGATACCACCGAAACGAGTTCACTTGTCCGCTTCCCATTTGCAACTGGTTCGCGGACCATAACGAGCGACAGTTCGTCGTTGTCTTCTACTTTTTTCGGGCTCGTCGGTCACGAAATTATTCAGAAGTGAGGCAAACTTATTGAGTTGCCGGTTTAAATGTACTTGAGACCGAGAAAATGTTGTGCAACTTTGGGGCGAAAAAAATTCTCGACGCGGCGCAAGAGGATTGACGAAACTAAATGGACAATTCGATCGTCTCGATCGAATAATTTCCGATTAATTTCCAATTGACTGGAAGAAAGAATCGTTGCGAGGCGTTTCGTTTTTCTCGCGGCCCGGTTCATCAACCCCCGAGAAATCCGGGCGAATCGCGCGTCGGGCGTCCCCTTCGCCCGCGTCCTTGCCCTCCCCTCGCCTCCCCCTCGCGATGACGCGTCGCCGTGCGCCTCCTTAATGCCTTTTGATTTTCGTTCGCGTTCCAAAAATAAAGACGGGGCCTGTCAGGCGGGAACTCGGTGACAAAGCGAGTTAGCGGCGAAGCAGAGAGCCGCCTTCCTCGAGTTTTCGCGAAATTTCGCGCGGATTCAGATAACAGATCTCTCTCGTTTGGAGAGTAGTTCGAGAGTCGGAGGGTTGTAGACTCGAGAATCTAACGCTAACGAGCTACTTCGTTTAATATTTTTCGTGGAGATCGTTGCGATTGACTGTCATTATTATTGTGATCGAGTCCCACGCGACGAGATTTTTATTTTTGTCAGATCAGAGATCGAAGTTATTTGTCTGTTTTAATTTTAAAGATTTTTTCTTTAACGCCCAACAATAGCAAGAAATTATAACATTGACAACCGTGTCGGTGAAGAATCACCTTATCGACCGAATTGTTCAAATTACGTTTCTCACCAAATAGAAACCAAATATTGATTTTTGGCAAGAGCATCGTGTCACCTCGGCAACCGAAAGGGAGAAAAGTAATCTGTTTAAAATCTGTCGTACGTGAAAATGTTGTAGATTCGAGAGTCGACGTTTCGATACGAGTGACACGATTTACGTAAATCCCGCAATGTACGTTTCAACGCACTGGAACTACTGGTAATTTCTCGAGTTCCACGTGAAAGTTTTTTTTTTAAATTTCCACCGAAAAGATTTTCATTTTTATCGCGAACGGTGTGAAATTAGAGATCGCGACAACCTCAGAATCCATTCAGATTCTTTTTCCAACCGCCTTTGTCATTCGTTTTGCCCGGATTATACTTAATTATACTTGACAAAAAAAACTCTCGACGTAAGAGGTTAACCACTTGCGCTGGCAGCTGATTGCGGACCGTAACGAGCGACCGAACCTTGACACGACAATTCGTCGCTTTCTTTTTCCTTTGAACACGTCGGTATGACATCGCTGGATAGAAATTATTGACAAGTAGTAAATTTATTACTTGTTTCGCCTGGGTTATACTTCAATATACTTGAAACTGTGGAAATATTGCAGTTTTGGGGACACAAGGTTCTCGACGTGCGTGGCACGTCATTCCAGCGCAAGAGGTTAACATTCGCGGTATATATCAGTGAAAAACCACCTTATCGACAGAAGGTTAAAATTATATTTCACATATATTTACTTACAAAAGTAAAGTGAAAGAAAAAAAATAATCTATCAAAAATCTGTCGTACAACAAACAGCATAGCTGAAAGATATCGTTCTTGTGAAATGAAAAACGTTGCTCGAAACAATTGGAGGGTCGTTTGCCCGCGTTACTTTGATCGTGGCACGGTAAATAAGGTAACAGGACCGACATTGCGACGTAGTAGCAATCTTATCTCGACTCGTTTCTCGTTCCAATTGCATCGAGCAGCGATCGGAGATCTGTAAAAGCCGCCGGCACAGCCACGATCGAATTCCCCGGCGAAATTGCTCGCTACCGATCGCCTACCGTAAAGTCCGTTTCATGGCCGATTCAACCACCCGATCGTTACCATCACCGACAAAACCGTGGTCCGTTTTCCCGCAGCAGAAACCCGCCCGGAAGATCGGAGCTTCTCCACCAGTCGCCAGACACCATAGTCTCCCTCGGAGGAAGCCAATAAATCCTCGCGAGAGAACGCAGACAACCAAGGAGAAACCCTTTACTTCTCTAGTTTGCTCGAGCATGCTAACGAGAAGACGCGACCCATAAGAAGAAGAGACCTAACCTCCCCGCGCGAGAATACGAGTTGGAAGAACGATCGAAGAATTGAAAATTTAAAGATTCGAGAGGAGAGGATTTTAAAAGAGTGAAAGGAACCTAACCTAACCTATAAAAGAAGAGACTTAACCTGCTCGCGCGAGAATACGAGTTGGAAGAGCGATCGAAGGATTGAAAATTCAAAGATTCGAGAGGAGAGAATTTTAAAAGAGTGAAAGGAACCTAACCTATAAGAGAAGAGACTTAACCTGCTCGCGCGAGAATACGAGTTGGAAAAACGATCGAAGAATTGAAAATTCAAAGATCCCAGAGGACAGAATTTTAACAGAGTGAAAGGAACCTAACCTAACTTATAAGAGAAGAAATTTAACCTCTTCACACGAGAATACGAGTTGGAAGAACGATCGAAGAATTGAAAATTCAAAGATTCGAGAGGAGAGAATTTTAACAGAGTGAAAGGAACCTAACCTAACTTATAAGAGAAGAAATTTAACATCTTCACACGAGAATACGAGTTGGAAGAACGATCGAAGAATTGAAAATTCAAAGATTCGAGAGGAGGGGATTTTAACAGAGTGAAAGGAACCTAACCTAACTTATAAGAGAAGAAATTTAACATCTTCACACGAGAATACGAGTTGGAAGAACGACCGAAGAATTGAAAATTCAAAGATTCGAGAGGAGAGAATTTTAACAGAGTGAAAGGAACCTAACCTAACTTATAAGAGAAGAAATTTAACCTCTTCACACGAGAATACGAGTTGGACGAACGATCGAAGAATTGAAAATTCAAAGATCCGAGAGAAGAGAATTTTAAAACATAGAAGGGAACTTAACCTAACCTACAAAAGAAGAGACCTAACCTCCTCGCGCGAGAATACGAGTTGGAAGAACAAGAAATTGGAAGTTCCAAAAGTTGAAAAAGAAAAGAAAGAGAAAGAGAAAGCGTAAACTTAACCTAACCTACAATAGAAGAGACCTAACCTCCTCACGCGAGAGGAAGAATACAAAATTGAAAGAAAAACGATCTATCGAATATTGGAATACAAAGTAATTCGACAAGAGATCCGACAAGAGAGACAGACAAATCAAGAAGTCGACCATAAGGTCGGTTCTTGGTTGTTAGCAGGTGAAAGGCGGAAGAATAGGAGGAGGCGAAGGTGGTGCAGATGAGGCCACGATCAATCTGCGACAGGGTGGCGGAGGAGTATTACGAGCCTGACGGTTGTTATTGCGAAAATCGGTGCTTCTGACAGCCGGACTGCAGGAGGGACAGACAGACGGTAGTGTGCCACAGCAGCCGCAGTGCTTGCGAATACTCGATGGTTCGTGTCGTTTGACGCTTGTTCCACTGAGGCCCAACCACCCTACGTGTTCTTCCTCATCCATTTGCCTTGTAGCTTCGCGCCTGCAGTTTCGCACTCTTTATCTTTATCGGATAGTGACAAGGACGCCAGCTTCTAGGCTAATTTACATTTGCGTCTCCCTCCTTCGTCTTCTCTTCTTCACTTTATCTCGCCTCCAATTAGACGACAGTCGTCTATCTCGAACGGGCGAACAATTCTCCAGATATTTCTCCAGCAATCAGCGGCCGTTTCTTTATCAAACTGGAAGTTCTCGCGTTGCGGACGATTTTTTTTTTTTTAAATTAACGAAATTAACGTTTCGTTCAAATTTAAATTTCTCAATACGATTTTACGTACAGTCAATTCTATCTGAAAGTAGGATATTTTTATACGTTTCAGACGATTTTTGTATCTTGTGTTTTACACATTAGTCAATTTTCCCTCAACGAGCAGACGACTGTTGTCCTTCGACAATGTTTCAACAAAAATATCGCACGTAGCTATTTATCATCACTCGCCGCGAGTTTCCTTCGTCTGTAAAGAATTTCTCGGTATTTCCTCTCAGCCCTCAGCACACGCGTAACAATTCATCGAGAGCACGCGTCATTAGCGTGGCTCTCGATCAACATGCAAATACCTACCCGCGTTCAATAAGTTTTCAGGGCAGTTTTTCTTCGCTGTAAGTGGGGACGTCTGAAGAATAGACGATGAGATTGCGGGTACGCGATATTGTTCTGTCGACAAATATTCCATCTTCGAGCAGGGTTTTCATCTTCTCGGCGGAAAAATTCATCCCCCTGCCCCCCCCCCCCCTTCACGTGGAACGCAGAAGGATGTTTACATCCCCTTGAAGCGTGAATCGCGGGATCCCTGCAGGAGAAATCGCATTTCCCTGACAAAGGGAACGCCAGTCCCCAGCGATCGTGCAATAATCGATCTCCCTTCCCCTTTTTCTTGCCACCACGTCAACCGGAAACGAAGATTCGGCCGCGTCACCATTCCGGAACAGTTCGAACTGCCAGACAAGCGCCTGGTTTCCTCAGGATGTTCGCGAGTTTTCTTCTTTCATCTCGTTCGCAAGTGTTCGAATAATTTCACCAGTTTTCGACAGTTTTTTTTCGTCGCGAAAGTTCTCACATATATGTGTGTGTGTGTGTGTATATGAGACTTCTCTTCGAATCGAAATTTTCATTTTTCTGTGCGCCGACAGTTGATAGCAAAATTCCAGTTAGAGACTGAAACGTCTTCGACACCATTTTTTGAACCACTGTGACCGTTGCATGATCTCTTAGGCTTAGATCTGAAAAGAAATCTGCGCACCATCCTACCTGCATGTGACACTACAATCCGCACTAACTGACAAACTTCGGGGGGGAATCGTTTCACTCGAGAACGAGAGGCTTCGAACCACTTGCGCTGGCAAGAACCGATTGCGGACCGTAACGAGCGACCAAACCGTACACAATAACTCGTCGCTTTATTTATGAACTCGTCGATGGTACGATGGTATCGCTGGATAGAAATTACTGAGAAGCAATAAATTTATCACTTGTTTCCCCTGTGTTACACTTAAGTATACTTGAAACTGAGGAGATATCGCAATTTTCGGACAAAAAAAAACGGCGTGGCACGTCATTGCAGCGCAAGTGGTTAATATATTTGCTGATAATTCTTTTTAAGGGGATATTTGAAAATGACTAATATTAAATTAAGTATTAATGTTAATATTAAATTTTATTATATTAATATTATAATATTATAATATTAATATTAAATTTTATTACATTAATATTATAATATTATAATATTAATATAATATTAATATTTTATTATATTAATATTGTATTAATATTAATTTTATTATATTTATATTATATTAATATTGTATTAATATTAAATTTTATTATATTAATATTAATATAATATTAAAATTAATATAATACGAATATAATAAAATTAATATTAATACAATATTAATATAATAAAATTAATATTAATACAATATTAATATAATAAAATAATAATATTATATTAATATTATAATATTATAATATTAATATTGTATTAATATTAATTTTATTATATTTATATTATATTAATATTAATATTATATTAATATTGTATTAATTTTATATTAATATTAAAGTTATAATATTAATATTAAAAAAAAGATCCTGTGTCTAAACAGAACTCGAACGAACATAATTCAGCAACATAATTTTCACGTTCGTCGAGCCTCGAAGTCGTTTATTTTTTTTTTTTTTTTTTATTTTGTTTTTTTCCTTTTCGAGCATCGACAACTCGTGTCCCATTCAAACTCAAAGGGACAAGACTTGTGGGATGACCCTCTTCGTTCTCGGTGGGCGAGAGTCGGGTAAACGCGCCGCTAATCAGCCTGCCGTCGATTTTTGCCCGCAGGATGAGTTCCATCCATTCATTGAGGCCCTCCTACCATTCGTGAAATCTTTCTCGTACACGTGGTTCAACCTACAAGCCGCCAAGAGGCGTTACTACAAGAAACACGAGAAACGGATGAGTCTCGAAGAGGAACGTCAGTGCAAGGAGGAGCTCCAGGTGAGTGGTACCTTCGATGTTTCTCTTTTTAGCCGTCTCGTCTTTCTAAAATTAATCAATTAGAACATATTTCCGAGTAATTAGCTTATTGGAGCCACGAACAACGATGTTTACAGCAAATGTTCCAAAAATTTTCCTTCTACTTGTCTTTGTAGCTTTTGAATTATTATCGAGGATTGACCTGACTTTAACGATCGAAATTTTCGTTCAAAATGAAACGCGTTCTCGTGCCACAGACGTAGAGAATTTGACAAACTGTAACAGATTGTTATAAATTCAAACATTTATACGGATGCTATTGTTCAGCAAAGAATACGCGCGGATGTTCTCTCTGGTCTCGATCTATCTCTACCGGGTCCACTGCTCGAAAACTACAAGCTAGGTTTCTAATAATAACATTCAGTTACGTCGAATGGCACAACTGTACGCGATTAACACGTTTTGAACGTGTTGCGGCAACGCGAGGAAGTAACGCGTTACAGATCGTAACGAACTATAAATCGATCACTCAACGATTTAAAGATTACCGATTGATGATTACAAAATTGCAAAAGTTACTCAAGATCGCCGACTTGTTTTAATAAATGATTAACTGACTGATTTATTTTAACGACGACTGATCGATTGATTATTACGATTACTATGGTTACATTTAGCAATTGATCACAAAATTAATTACAAAGCACGTCATATAATTGCTGTCCATACTCTGCATCGCGGACAGATTCGTCGAAATTGTCGGGCCTTTTGAATTTTTAAATCTGTCAGCTTCGAGTTTTCAACTCCGTGAATTTGGTATGAAACGTTCGATATTCGCGTTTCGAGTCGAGTCCGTTGTTTACAGTGAAGAGTATAACTGTCCAACGACAATGAAAAATCGTCGATAATTTTAACTATTGTAACATAAGATCGCATAACGATCCACTCGTGATCTTATTTCGAAGACTTCTACCACGAGTCGTGAGTTTATTTTCTTCGAAGATGAATTGACATAGTGCAGCGACGGGTAGAGAAAAAAGTGAGGATACTTTTTTTTTATCGAAAGTTATTGTGAAAGTTTGGACGTCTGTAGAAAACGTTAAAAAAGAAAAGTCTTTTTCGCGACTAGATTCACCAATATCTCGAAGATCGAAATCTTCTCGTCGCAACGATCTCTAAACATTCGCTGTACGATCTTTTTTTTCCACCATTTCTTACTCAATCTTGAACACTAAAATTTTAAACGTTAGGTATTGAAATTTGAAATGTTCGGATTTCTTCAAAATTCAATGAAATAGCGACCAAAGATCCTGCAACAAGTTTTAAAAGATCTTCGATCTTCAAATTGATGAACAGTGTTCAACCACATTTGTCTTAACTCTAATGGTTAAATGTTAAGTCCATGGAACGCATCTGTGGAAAGCAGTAGTTCCAACTATTCTATGCAACTCTCAAACGAAATTAAACGTAAAATATCTCCTCAACTTATCAGGTTTAAGACAAATGTGGTTTTCACACTTTTTCACTCAGAATATTGTTTTTGTATTATATTTTTACTTAGAATATTATTTCTATATTATATTATTACTCAGAATATTATTTCTATATTATATTATTATTACTCAGAATATTATTTCTATATTATATTATTATTACTCAGAATATTATATTTATATTATATTATTACTCAGAATATTATTTCTATATTATATTATTACTCAGAATATTATTTCTATATTATATTATTACTCAGAATATTATTTCTATATTATATTATTACTCAGAATATTATTTCTATATTATATTATTACTCAGAATATTATTTCTATATTATATTATTACTCAGAATATTATTTCTATATTATATTATTACTCAGAATATTATTTTTATATTATATTATTATTACTCAGAATATTATTTTTATATTATATTATTATTACTCAGAATATTATTTCTATATTATATTATTATTACTCAGAATATTATATTTATATTATATTATTACTCAGAATATTATTTCTATATCATATCATTTTTTTTTTTTCTAATTTTTACTCAGAATTTTACTTAGGATTTAACACTCTTTCGACTGTATTATTTTTTTTTCTTTTAAATCAAACTGAAACAGTGATGCAGTTCAATTTAAAATGACAGATGTGACCTTGAAAATTTTGACACACGCGAGAAATTCACACGCCACAGTCTTCCTCCCTTAAAACCACGCAACTTTCGTATCGCGCAATTTTTCATTTCACGCGTCGTTCGAAGGTTGTTATCGCAAGCTGTACACGTTACGTGAATCGCCCTGTACAATCGAGCAGCATCGCACGTCGTAGGTACATACGTAACGTCACGGAAAAGCGACGATAAGAATCACGTCCCATTATCAAGCTGCTACGTCACCTAACCTGACGAGTCTTTGGGGGGGGGGGGGGCTTGTCAAATTAACACAATTCAGATGTTGAAACAAAAAAGAAACAAAAAAAAAAAGGAAAGAAAGGGAAACGTTTAAAAAAACGGCTGATTCGCGACTGAAACTCGAGCGTTGAAAGGTGGCAGTCGCGGACGAGAACGTGATAACAGAGAGAGAGAGAAAAAGAGAGAGAGAGAGAGAGAGAGAGAGAGGTGAGCGCACGCGATAACGAGTCGATGTAATACCCGGAGTCGGCGATAAAAGTTCCGGCGGCGCGGCGTGGCTTTTCATCGTCCGCGGCGAGTGTCAGCGAATCGTTTGCACGAAATGCCTCGGCCAGCAAGCCTCGGGCCGGTGTTCCACCTAGCCTGCCGCTAATTTCACGGTTAAGAATAAAAATAATGAGGTTTCGGCCTATTTCTGGCGCAGAAGCCCGCAGAAGTCCTCGTGACGCGCGCTATCGCCTCAGCCTCGCATCGCCAGTAGCTCTCTCTCTCTCTCTCTCTCTCTCTCGGTCGTCCTGCCTCTCTCGGATGCCTCTTTATTAATAGAACGATTCAGCCGCGGAACAGCCAGGGACATTATATAGCGAGCGTTTCCTCCCGTCAATTTTCCCACCGGGGAAAAGATTTTCGTTCTCGAGAGTCGTTCTGGACGAACTGTCGCCCCCCCCCCCTTTCGCCTTCGATTCACCGGCGGAATAAATATATCGATAAAACTGCGCGAAGATCGTCCTCGAGGGACACACTAAGGGCGGTGAGGAAAGGAGAATCAAACGGATGAAACAACGAAAGGGATGAAGAACGCAGGGTGAAAAAGCGGAAGGGAAAAGTCGGTGAACCCCGGATATCGAACGTGGTTGGCGCGTCGGCTCGGTTCGACGAGTCATTGACATTCGAATTTTTCGGCCGGACCGCAATCTTTTCTCTCCCTTTTTTCGTCCTTTTTTTTTTTTTTTTTTTCTCTCA